CTCCCCAACACCAACATTTGTTAATTGCCTACTTTTTTTTTTTAGATAGAATCGTTTATTTTTACATCACTTTGTGCTTTTTCCATCTTAGTTGTAATCCCCGTGGGCTTCCCATCACCAAATCACCCGTGTGCCATCACCACAGTCCAGTGTACTTCCCCACCCACTGCTCCATTTTTGATCCCATTCCCTATTCCAGCACCGTAAAATGTCTCTGATATAAAGTTGTTCATTATTACTATTATTTTTCCTCTGGTCCTTTATGCTTCTACTATGAGTGAAACCATCCGGTGTTTTTCTTTTTCTTTCTGGCCTATTTCACTAAGCATGATTCCTTTCAGCTCCATCCACAATGCTGCAAAATATTGCCTGTTTTGTTTTTCTGTAATGTGTGCTATTCTCGTTTGTGTAAGGTGATATGTCATTGTGGCTTTGGTTTGCATTTCCCTGACTGTGAGGGATGCTGAGCAGTTTTTCATGTCTGTTGGCTAGATGCATTTCATTTTTGGAGAAGTGTCTTTTGAGTTCCACAGTCTCTTCAAGGTATTTGCAAATTGCTTTGATCACCTCATTAATGCAGTGGTTTTCAGTAGTGTGGGTTTCAGTCTCCATCAGATAGGAGGGTTCCTAGCTTGCGTGTTCATGCTTTATTTCTAGCTTGATGCCCTTATGATCAATAAGATAGTTGGCATGATTTAGTGTATCTGTTGATGTTTGTCTTGTGGCCTAGTATATGATGGTTCCTAAAGAATGATCATGCACCTGAGGAAAAAAATGTGTACTCAGATTTTTCGGGTGCAGTATCCTATAGCTGTTCGTTAAGCCCTTGAGGTCTAATGTCCTTACCTATTTTTTGTCTCATTGATCTGTCCTTTGGTGAGAGTGGGGTGTTGAAGACTCCTACTGCACATGTATTTTCTCTGATGTTTTCAGAGATGATGATGACTATCTGATTTTGGTGCTCCGTCACTTGGTGCGTATCTGTGATGAGTGTTATGTCTTACTGCTGTCGCCCCCTTAATCATAATGTAGTGCCTTCTATTTTTCTTTTTACCTTTTTAGTTGGAAGTCTATTTTATCTGATATAAATATAGCTGTCCCTGCCTTCTTTATTAGCCCATTCGCTTGTAGGATTGGTTTCCAACCTTGTACTTTGAATCTATGTTTATCTTTTGTAGTTAAATGTGTTTCCTATAGACAGAAAAAGGGTGGGTTCTACTTTCTAATCCAGCCGCTACTCAGTGTGTTTTTACTGGCTTTAGTCCATGTACATTAAGAATTAATATCGATACGCTGGCATCCGAGGAGTCATTTTGTTTGCGTTTTTGTGATTTTATTCCTTACCTTAGTGTCTTCTGCTTATTCATTCTTTTGTTGGTTTTGACTTTAGGCTCCTTGTAATATTTTCTGGAGCGGAGGTTTAGTAGTAATGAATTTCTGGAGATTTTGTTTATAGAAGGTTTTTATTTTTCCTTCACAGAGGAAGGAGAGCATTGTGCATAGAGCATTGCTAGAATGTGCTGACTCGGAGTGTGTTAAACATGTCACTCCATTCTCTGCCCGTGGTGTATCTTGGGAGAAGTCTGATGTCAGCCTAACCGGTTTTCCTCCATAGGTTGTCTATTTCTTTGCTCTCGTCCTTTCCATTACTTTTTCCTTGTCTTGGACATTTGAACATGTTCTTTTCTGTGACGAGGCCATGCCCCAAGGATTCTGCAAATTCTAGAGGAAGCTGTGGAAGCAACCAGATGCTGCGAAGACTTTGTTGCTTTTGGTGTTCTTTTATAGAAATCTGTCCATTTTACCTAAGTGATTTAGTTTACGGACGGTGCTGTGCATAGTGTTCTCCTATAATGCTCTTGATTGCCTTGAAATTAGTAGGAACATCCCAAATTTCATCTCAGACTTTGAGTCAGAGCTACTTCCTTTTGTCAGTCTGAAGGTTTTTCTATTTTATTGATCCTTTATAAATAGCCCAGCTTTGTCTCGCCCCATTTTCTCTACTTCATTGCTCACAGAAGCCTCTATTATTTTCTCCCTAGCTTTGGGTTCATTTCCTAGCCGTTGCCCCAGTTCCTCAGTGTAAAAGCAGGACACTGACCTGAGCCGACAGTCTCTGCCATTTCTGGGGTTTGCTGCTCTGCCCCTTTGGGCTGTGTCTTCCCTGCAGCCGACTGCCCCTGAAAGGGCAGACCATCACGAGGTCAACAGCCTCTGCACTGGCACGTGTTCTTCCTCCAGGTTGTTGAAGAGCTTATGGCAGCGTGGTGTTAATTCTCCCCCAAAGTGGCAGACTTTGCTGCTGGAGCTCAGGGCACTGGCTTCCTGCTGTGAACTGTTGTGACTCAGTGCTTACCTGCTATGATATCTTCAGGTTTCGTTTCTTCTTGGTTCAGCTTCAGTAGTTTTTGTCTTTCCTGAGGCTCTGTCCAGCTCATCCCAGCCATCTCATGGTGGACAGTTGTCCCTAGTATTCCTTTATAACCCTTTGTATTTCAGGGTATCAGTGAGGACTGCCCCTTTCACTCCTGATTTTATAATCTCTCTCTTGTTGGGTCCAGGGAAGTATTCCTAAGTGTCCATTTTTCAAAAAACCAAATGCATTTTCACTGACTGTTCTGTATTTTCTTGTCACTTTATTTTGTCTCTGCAAACCTTCATTTCCCCTTCCTTCCAGTCACCTTGATTTGTTCTTTTCATTTTCTGAGGCTGAAGTTTACTTTGTTGATTTGAGCTCTTTTAATTTACAAATACGAGCTTTCTAGCAGTTACACCCAAGCTGTATGCCTTAAATTTTGTCATGTCTGATTTGTTAATCCCCAATTATTTTAAATTCTCTATGGTTTCTATTGGTGGTTTAAGAGCATGTTGCTTAATTTCCATCTATTAGTGAATTTCCCCACTTTCCGTTAATTATTTCTAACTTCACCTTTCTGCAGTAGGACACCCTGTGTCACTTCAGTCCTTCAGTCGTATTGAAGCCTGGTCTGTGGCCTTTGAGGTGCAGCCCAGCATTTCTCTGCACTAGAAGGAAATGTTCTTGCCTCGTGGCTCCAGAGGAGCTAAAGGTGGATGTTAGGTCTGACTGGTTTATAGGTTTTTTTTTTAGGTCTTCTGCTTCCCTCTTAAAAGATTCTACTTGTTTGATCCTTCTGGAATATACTTCTCCATTACTGAATGACTTAATCAGCCACTGCTATATCTTTAACTATCTTATTGATTTGTTTATATTAGTGACCATACTCTATACAGCCAGACTGTTATTCTTTTAAAATATCTGCCTATATATTCATAATCTACTGATTGAGACCCCACATTTAGCCAGAGCTATGAGAGCAGTGAGGTGGTGAGAAGATTCACCAGAGACGGAGTGGGAAGCAGAACAGGCAGATCTGCTGAAGTATATTGCTGAGGGGAGCAACGGGCGAGACAGGAGAGGTCTGCTGTGCCCTGAGGGTCAGCTTCCTGGTTGGGGATAGAGCTCGTACTGCAGTGGCTACGGATACCTTGATAGTGCTAAAACTTAGCCCTTTGTGTCACCAGGGAGTCGCAGATTTATTTATATATACAAGCACTGGGGTACAGGCCAGTGGTATGGGTGGGTAAGAGGATTTATCAGAGTGAGGAGCAGAAGTGGTGGATTGATTGAAATCTACTGTTGAGGGGAGCAGCAGGGAGACAGGAGAGGTGTGCTGCACATTATAGGTTACCTCCCTGCCCAGGGATCGAACTCAGGCCACAGTGGCTAGTGATAGCTTGATAGCACTGAGATTAAATCGCTGTGTCACATTTTTTGGGGGGAAAGAAAATCTACTGGATTTTAGTGAATGTGATCTTGTCACCGTAGACCTTGTTACTGAGATCAGGCCCCCAGGCCCAGCAGCATGGGTACCACTGGGGACATGTTAGGGAAGCAGAATCCCAGCCCCACTGCAGACCCCTGCATCAGAGCCTGCACTGTGCAGGGTGCCCAGGGGACTCCCAAGCACATCAGTGTCACAAGCAGCAGGGCAGGTCCCAGAACCCAACTTCCCAAGCCTTCCAAGCACCCGTGCCTCTGTGCAGAGCAACATGTCTGCATTTCCCCGGAGGTATGGGGGTGGGGGGTGAGGAGGGGGCCCTTTTTCCTCTCTAGATCTGCAGCCCCTGGGGACCTTGTGAGGGCTCTGACTTCACTCACACTCCAATTAGCTTTTTTAAGGTGGAGAAAATAACTACATGGCAGGCAATGAAATCACACCAGAGTGAAACTCTTAGGCCTACAGAATGGCAGACTGGGCTCTGTGGTTTCTCATCTTCCAATACTCCAAGAAGGCTACGTGGCTGGTGAACCTACTGGTGAATCTGTGAACCTGACTCCAGAATCTCCTAGTTCACCTGCCTCCTGCCATCCCCACCCCAGGGGTTTCACTTCTCATTGACCTAACAGAAAACCCTCGCTCCCTAGGGCCTCCTGGGGATGGGCAGGGACGGTCTCTAGACGAGGCAGCACACGGCTTCCTGTGCCTGCGGCCTGCAGAATGAACGTCCTATTCCAAGCGAGCGTCCAGCCACGTAGCCTTCTTGGGAGTATTGGAAGATGAGAAACCACAGAGCCCAGTCTGCCATTCTGTAGGCCTAAGAGTTTCACTCTGGTGTGATTTCATTGCCTCCCATGTAGTTATTTTCTCCACCTCAAAAAAGCTAATTGCAGTGTGAGTGAAGTGTCAGGAATGAACAAAGTCAGTACCAAGGACTTGGGCTCATCTGTGAATGGAGTAGCTGGTCGGCTCCCCTTGCACAGAAGGGGGGCAAATGCCCCCCGCTGGGGGAGATACTGGCAGCGCCGCCCCACTCACCCCGAGGCCCCGTGTGCGCCTGGTGGGCAGCCCCCCCTCCCCCAGTGAAGGGATTGGTGCATGACTCCTGAACAGCCGCTTGGTACTCGGTACCCGCCAGTAAATGACCGCCGCAGCCTCCTGATGCAAGAGATCCCGCAACTGGTAAGCTGTTGAGTGTTTTTATTTACAAGGAATTACTGTTATTTGGCTGCTCTGAAGACCACAGCACCGTTCGCTGTAGGACACAGTGATGACGCACGATGGCATACAGTACTTGGATAACTGGATAACTGACCCGGGCGCGGCACGGAGGGGCGTCGGCACCGGGAAGGGCCATGCGAGTGACGGTGCCGCAAGTGACGGTGCCTGCGGCCTTGGCGGAGCAGCTGCGGGGCCAGAAGGGGCTATGGCCTGCGGCCCTTTGGGTCCCACTCCAGCTGGCCGACACTGTCCGGCAGCCCCCCCGCAGCTGGGCCGTGCCGAACCTGCGAGAGTGTGCGAGGGGAGCACCGGGGCTGCCGGGGGTGAGGTGGGTCCTCTCCCTGGCCAGTTGGGTGTTGCCGTCCTCCAGAGGAGGCCTGGGGGGGAGCTCTGCACTGGGCTTTTTGCACAGCCCTGAAGTGCCCTCCCCCAGCTCGTGGGCCGCTTGGCAGGGAGTGAGAGCACCTGCAGGGTGGGACCGGGCGGGGGCTGCCACCCGCTGCCCAAACCACACCGGCCTTTGCTTTCCGGGCCTGCTGGGCTTGGCCCAGACCTAGACGGTCGAGGGAGCTTCCCGTGTGGGCCGAGTCCTAAACAGGCGCCTCCCAGGGCCCGTGGCCTCGAGGAGGAGGGAGGAGCCCGGAAGGTGTCCACCACCTTCAGTCCAGATTCCTCCCTGATCGCTGAGAAGCGGAGCGAGGGGCAGGAGAAGCAGGGACGGGCTAGGGGCACCGCCGTGCAGAGGGCCCGCGTCTGACCACGGCCAGGGAGCGCGTCGGGCCGGCTCCGGGTCAGTGCGGGGGGGCAGCGCCGGCGCGCCCTGCAGCCCCCTCACATGCGGCCCTCCATGGCCAACCAACCCTTCGACCCCGCTCGACCCCTGGCGGCAAGCAGTGCGGTCACTGGGTCAGCGATGAAGTCAGTCTCGGGCAAGCTGCCTTTGACGGTCGAGCGTGTTTTAATATGCAGGAAGGGTAAGGGGCGGCGCGCGGACGTCCAGCCCAGGGGCCGCCCGAGCAGCGGGCCCGGCTCCGCACCGCAGCACCCCTGCCCCGCCCGCGGGGCGCGTGACTGGGCAGCGCCTCCTGTCCAGTGGCCACGGGGAAGCGACTGTGTACATCCCCGCGGGCCGTCCCCGGTCGCCACTCGCGTCCACACTGGCGCAGGAGCACCGGGCGCTACTCTGAAAGTGGGAGCGACGCGGGGGCCTCGCATTCAGCGCGGACTTGCAGCCCCGCCGGCTCCCGGCCGCCCCACCCTGTCCGGGTCACTCCGCTGCCCAGCGCGGTCATGAGTGGCACGAGGCCGGGCGGTGCAGCACCCGCACCGGCCGCGCCCCGGGGTCACGGGCGACTGCAGGAGAGGCTAGTGCCACCCCCCCCGGAAGGGAACGGCGGTCAGTCCCGCGTGGGGGCACCAGACGCCCCAGCGGCCCACGAGGCGGGGCCGGGAGCCCGGGGCCTTCGCGAAGGCCCCTTGGTGAGCGGGCGGGTGGCCGGTAGAGGGGCTGCGCCACGTCCTCGGCCTCCGAGTCCGGTCTGAGGGCCCCGTTGCTGGGGTCTCGCCGGGGTCGCACACCGGCCGCAGCACCGCGGGCCCGACGAGGCGCGGCCGGAGCGGGCGGCGCTCAGGGCTCTTCTTGGGGGAGCTGCCCGCGGTCTCCGGGGCAGGGGCCTCTCTTCAGGCTCACGTCATCCAGGCCGATCTCCCCGGGGTGCCCGCGCCTCTTTTCACCTCTGAAGATGACCTGGGGGAGAAGGTGCGCAGGGTCAAGGTCATGCGTCTGCTGCCCACCCCGCACCCTCGGCCACCACCCCAGGAGTGGGGGGCAACCACTACCCTGTTACGGGTCCTGATGCCCGCCCAGGGCTGCACCCTAAGACGCCCCCACCCCACCCCGTGCCGAGCCGCTGCCTTCTGCCGGGACCGCCGACCTGCCCTGGACTTGCGGTCCCGGGCCTGCAGGACAGCGCACCCCTCCTGGGCAGGGCCCCACACCCAGGCTGTGACGTGGGAGCAAGGGGCTTTGCAGAAACGGGGGCTCAGCCCGGGGCACCCCAGTTGGGTGAGTTAGGTGCACCCCCTTCAAGATTCCTCCCAACTTGGCTGCAGTGTCCTCTGTGTTGGTCTCAGGAAGACGAGGGACGCACCGGGGTGCGGGCGGGGGCGCCCCGCGGGTACTCACGCTCTTGACGTCCGCCACGGGCAGGCTCATCCGCGTACGCCGCCAGCCGCCACCGCCGCTCCTGCCCCACAGCGCCGCCGCCGGGGCCCCGGGTTTCCGCACAAACACCTGCAGCGCGCCGGGGTGACGCCCCGAAACCTTGTGCCGGAAGGAGAGGCATAGCTGCCCCGCGTGCCGGAGGTGGCCGAGGGGGAGCACCAGGCGGGCCGCCCTGGCCCCTGAGCCTTTGCCCATGGTCACTGTCAGGTACTGGCCACCTGCAGGGGGAAAGGGGGGCTCGGTACGGCCGCATGCAGTGGAGTGCCCCGCGGGCCTGACGTGTCCTTGGGGTGCTCAGTCTGGGAGTGCCAGGATCTGCGAATGCCCACTCGCAGCAGGAACCCGGAGCTGCTGCAGGGCAGAGCCCGCCTAGCCGAGCTCCGGCACCAGGATGGGCGCCCATGGGTGCGCCCCCGTCCCGTGGGTTCTGAGTGGCCTGCAGGAGCTACCCAGAGCAAAGTGGGTGCAAACCCTAGACCCGGCTTGACAAGAGAAGTACATCCTCCTGTGCTCTGCAGACGGGGTGAGGCCTGCGAGGCCCTCCTGCTGACCTGCCTGCACCCCTGCACCCCAAGGGGGAGCGACTGGTGAGGTGCTATGCAGGTGGATGTGAGGCTATCAGGGAGCCCTGTACCCAGCTGCCTCCTGTGGTGGGAGCCCAGGCCGGTGTGATATGGGGCGCACGTCAGGGCCCCAACCCCAGTCTCTGTACTTGGGCTGTGCGTGTCCTCCCCAGGACGCTGTGATCCCTGGGCCCAGGCACCCCTTCCCCCAAACCACGTTCCAGTCCAAGCACCTGGCAGGAAAGCTGGGCCCAGGATACAGCCAGAGCCTGCTGGGAGCTGGGCCCCAAGGCTGGTGCTGGGCTCCAGGAACCCTCACTCTCTCCTGCTGCCCCCAGGCAGACATCAACCCAAACAGGGTTTTGAGCCAAAATTCTGGATGGCCTTAAATGGCCCGTACGTGGGCCTCGCAGTCCTGACGGGTGTTTTGGGTAAGACTGAGGGAGACGGTTATTGCAGCTAACCTGCAGGGTCTGGGCAAGCCGGGTTATCTCAGTCCTGGGGCGTGTGTGGGAACGTCCCTCCTGTGGAGCCTGCGAGGACCCCCGCCCCGGCCCTGCAGGGCCTCTCAGCAGACCTCACGCCGCCCAAGCCCCGAGGAAGCACCATGCTGTCTGGGACGTGTGGTTGCTGGGGTGTGAGTGTTATTTCTACTACTTGTAACATACTACAAAGCCTGACAGGAGCAAGGTGACAACATTTTAATGATGTGCTTTCCACTCTGTACCTCCTTGGGGGTCTACAGCCGTAGCTTACAGAGGAGAACATAGACCCGGCCGCGTCACCGGCAGCGGAGGCCCCGGTCCAGCTGTTACTGCTTTCGGCTGGCGGAGGACTGGCCAGGAGCAGCAGCAGCTGCAAGTAGGTCATTTTTATCTAGGAAAAGTCGTGCCCACTGCAGGGCCAAGGGAACAGGAAGCGTGAACACCACAGCACCCTCCCTGCGCCCTGAGGACGCTGCCGACTGCTGGGACACGAGTCACGCTCGCAGCTGTAGCTGCTCTGGGCCCCACGCAGTGTCATGGCCACCTCTGCGCTGCCAAGCAGACGCGCTTGACAGCTGCAAGGCGCCATGATAATATGGCTAATTTCTGATCATTTAAGTGATTCTCATTTTTTTTGCTTTCAGATAAAAATACCAAAGTAATAATGTAAGCAAACAAAATAGTTGTATTTTATCATGACAGAGGACAGTTTCCGCTTCTTGGGAAAGCAGTCAAGAGACATGAAGGGGCGCAGGAGACCTCGCAGGTAGCTCAGCCACCTTTTCAGCTGCAGCAGCGAGCGAGGCGCCTCTCACCTGGCGCGGCCCAGGAGGAGCTGAGTGAGGCCCGTGCAGGTGGGAGCAGCGAGGGGCAACTGGGCGCACCCCAGGGGGCTTGGCCATGCAGCTGCCAGGAGGGTGCCTGTGGCTGTGTTCAAGCCTGGAAGGGTGGCTGGGGTTCCATGTGGGCTGGCAGCCCCCCCAGTCCCCCAACACTGCTTCATGCTGAGGGGCCAGGTGTCTGCTGGGTGCTCCCAACCTTCCCACTGAAGTGCTCGGCCACAGCTCAAGGGGTCTCTGCCTCTGCCCACCACCCTGGCTGGGTCCATGCTGCACCCTTAAGACAGCAGGTACAGACCAGGGCCCTGCCTGGGTGACCTCCTCTCCCCCAGGTGCCCACGCAGCATCGGACCCAGACAGGGAGAACGGCCGGGCAGGCAGAGAAGCCATCGGCTGGCCACAGTGGAAGTGGCCAGTCCTGAGCTGTCACAGTGTGCGGCCAGTCTGGGGGGTGCCGGCTATGGGTCCCTTCCCCTTGGACCTCCAGGATCCCATTCCCTGACAAGGGCCGCTGCCAGGGGCCGAACCAGTGCCCTCACCACTGCCAAGCAGCTCTGTACAGTTGCACCAAGGTGGCCAGCGCTGGCCACAGGTACCCCCAGGACCCCTAGTGCCCCTCCAGCTGAGCGCTGCCAGCCAGGCCCGCCTACAGCAGCGCCAAAGCTCGGTGCCGCCACGGAGGAGGCAGATGGGCGGAGGCCGGTGACCAAGTCCGGTGCTGACTCCTGCACACTCCGCCCGCCCACGCTGGACACTTGCAGGATGGCAGAGCCACGTCCAGAGCGTGGGTTCTCTGAGAGCACCGACAGTGGCCATCGCGGTATGGCGCTGGTAGCTGCCGCCGGGCATGTGGACAGTGTGGGGTGCTGGGTGTGCGAGCACACACTGCACGACTCAGTGACTTCATGGCGTGTGGTCAACAGCACAGGCACTGAGCTTCCTGTGGGTTTGCGTCCACCTCACATGCGTGACCAGCTCTCGCGGTCCTTCCCTCTCAGGGCGCCCTGGATGCATTGTGGACTAGTGTTTCCATGACCTCAAAGCGCCCTCACCCCAGCATGGGGGCCTCCCCCAGCTCCCACCACCCGACTGTGGCCTTCGCGGTGTTCGGGAGATGTGGAGCGCTGCCCCATGTCCACCACGTGGCCTCCCACCGGAGGCCAGGCCTGAGGACACAGGGTGTCTCCAAAGAAGGCGATGACACGGCACCGTGCACGGGGGGCCTCAGGGCGGAGGTCCACCTGCTGGACTGCACAACTAGGGCGCGGCCACGTAGCCCAGAGCCTGAGTGACACCTGGGCGTTGCTGCGCGGCCCACGGAGCGGCGGTCTCTGGCGCTGGCGGCCACAGGCGGGGCTGGCCC